GAAGGTGGGCCCTGGCTCGCCGCGCCACCCCTTTTAGGATGTTCCGAGAGGCGTAAAATCCTGTCCACGCCTGGTGGGACTCTGCCAAAAATCCATTTGGGGAAAAAGGCAAAAGAGTTCATCAGGTCCTGTCTTCATGTCACGTTTGTTAAAGTGATGTCATGAGTGTTTTGTTACCGGTAGAATAAGGCAGAAAGTCTTCACTCCCGCGCACCTCCCAGACAAGATCCGCATCGTGTACGGCTCGGAAGTATTCGGCGAGTGTGGCATAGCGGACCGTGACCCCCAAGTCCTTACTGTTCTTGTTGATGTAGTCCATTAACGGGTCCATGTTGGCGAACTGCACGGACGAATTGTAGAATTGTTTGTCGCAGCCCTGAAAAGCAATTCGACAAGTGAGTTGGACGTGTGCCAACTTGAAGGAACCAAAAGTGCCACGCTCTCGTCACCCATGGCCACAGAACGTGCTTGGTCCGAAACCAGTCGGCCCTCTGCTTGATGTTCTCCACCATGGTGCTGGCGTAAGCGTGCACTGTTTCCTTGGTGATGGGCAAACTCATGTTTGGGTACACACCGTCTTTCGGGGGGTCGGGGAACAAGGCCACGCCGTTCCAGTAGAAGCCCGACCTGAAAAAGCGGCCGTTATTTGCTGGGAAAAAACAAATCTCATTCGTCGTTGCGTATCAATAAGTGCTATGCGCTGTTAATACCCCGAGATGGTACTCAGGGCCGGCAACGAGGCGCTCTAAATCAACAGCAACACATCTCTGAGTTCAATTTACAGGAGTCTTCAGTTCATTTGATTTGAATATGGATTGTTGAAGTGTGATACAGTCTTGATGAATGTTTTGAGGCCGGTGATGAAGGGAAAGAGACTACCTGTTGGAGAATGGCAGGTAAGACGGAGTGCAGTAGCTGAAATGGTCCTGGTCCATGGTGTGTGTGAAGATTTGCTGCCGCTCTTGCAAAGAGGCAGAACCTCTCCAAACAAACTGCAATTTCTGGTTCACAGTACAAAAAAAAAAAAGTTTAGATGAGTCAACTCCAGTGCAGTTCGACACGGCAGTCCGGCGGCACCTTCGTCTTCTGCATGGAATCTTTCAGGTCATAATCAATTCGGGAGATGAGATGACCGTCGAACCCGGCCAGGGCGAAGAGCACGGGCGCGGCGGCGGAGGCCCCGAATGGATCGACGCCCCACGAGAAGCGAGGACGCACGCCGAATGTCTCGAAGAGGAAGCCGTGGCCCTCTGGAATTGCATGCACGCAAAGTCATCGGCGCCAACGCGGCGGGAAACGAGCAGCGCTACCTGTCATTTGCACAAGCAAATCATCGAGATCGGTAACGGCTTCGTCGGGCATCACTTGGCCGCCCAGGACGAACTCAAGTCGACCTTCTCTCACAAGCTGCCGAACCTGGACGAGAAGACGAGTCGGCGTGGGCTGTTAGTTTGGGAGAATCTTTGTTGCATGTTTTCATGCACTTTGGATGCTTTTTTTTTTTTTTTTTTCAAAATCAAACAATCTTTAAACAGTTTAAGATCTTTGGTAGCTTAGTTTGCAGAACATTAATGGTTTAAACTATTATTACAGGACTAGTTTTGTCAAAATGAAACTCCAACACACTTCAACATAGTTCCTTGGCACCAACAGGCACTTACTTTCCGACTGAAAATTGACACAGTACTCTAAAAAGGTTTATCGGTCCATCGTGATAGCATAGTATAGAGCAAAAGCACTGCTTTTGTCTCAATAAACCTCAACATAATTCAACATAGTTCCTTGGAGTCAAAATGCCATCAGGTGGTCGCAAAGCATTACTTTTGTCAAAATAAAACTCAACAATGCACTTCCACATACTTTATTGGCACCAAAATGACAACAGGTGGCAACACACAGCATTACTTTTGTCGAAATAAAACTCTACAACATACTTCAATACAGTTCCTTGGCACAAGGATGCCACACAATGGCGGCAAAGCACTACTTGGTCTAAATAAATGAAACACTCTCCCCTTAAAATGTTTGGAATTGCTTCTCGATGCCACAAGATTAACCATCCTTAATGCACTTCCAATGTAGTTCCTCGGCAACAACATGCCAAGAGGCGGTGGCAAAGGGTAACTTTTGACTGAATAAAACTTTACCCACTTCAATAGTTCCTTGGTTGCAAGAAGTCACGAAATAGAACCCAAAAAAATTGTCCAAATAAAACTCCTAGTTGTTTGTCTTTATGCCAGGTCAAAACGGATATTGCATATAAAGGACACGTACAAAAACACTTTTACTGCTTACTTTGTGTATTCTCGTATACTTCTCTCCGTACAGCTTTACTTTTGCCTAAGTCCAGGAGGTTACGTCACCTGTCACTTTTTTTGTATCCATTTATTTGTGTTAAATGAATAAACAAAACACATAATAGTACAGATAGGTGAAAATGAAAATCTCCTTCGTCGTTGCGTATCGATAAGTGCTATGCGCTGTTAATACCCCGAGATGGCACTCAGGGCTGGCAACGAGGCGCTCTAAATCAACAGCAACACATCTCAAACCTGCGATTCTTCTCCTTGGAAAGCTCCTCCGTCACGCTAGTGTACACGTTGGCTGCATAGGCGTGCATACTCTCCTGTGGATAACACATTAGTATTAACACGATTGGAGAAAAAAACAACAAGAAAAGACAGCTAAACTTATACCTGCACAGTATACACCCAGCCGACGTCCATGTGACTGTGCGGGATTACAAACGTCTGAATTGATTCGGTTGCATTTGCCAATACAACAGAGCATGAAATCAAGTAAATTATTGTGAGTAAAAGTCGCATTTCAAAAAATAAATACAAAAAGAGAGATTATAAAAGCGAACACCAGTGCAAAACAATGCTCGACTTCCGTGTTATGGATGTGATGCATCACGAGACCAACTACGGGAAGCCAAGAGGGAAGAAAACACCTACATCCGCATGGCTAACCTTTGTACCCGGAAGCAAATATTTAAAACATTATGCCCTTTTGGAGGTGAACTTTTCTCTCCCAAAAACGATCAAAAATTATGTCCAAAAACAGGAAAATAGTGTTTATATTTGGAGGGTTTGTAACAGCTGTTGCTGCTGCGTTTTACCCCATTTTCTTCTACCCGCTCGCCCACAAAAACGAGTACAGTAAGTGGCGAACAAATACGCGTGACCCTCGTGATTTGCCTCTTTTTTTACATCACTGTCACAATTAGGAAACAAACTTCGAGGCTACAAGTTAGGTGGTGTTAATGAGATTTTGCTCAAACTGTTCTTTCCTCGTGTATATTCAGAATATCGTCGGTTACCTTTTGATATACGCTAGCTGTATGGTGGCGATCAAAAGTAAGAATGATGATCGCGTGTGAATTGGAGCTAACGTATCCGAATGCACTTTTTATTTCGCTCCCACTTAAGGAGAAGTCCAGAAGATGAACCGGGCAGGAATCGAGCAGGCCGACGTGCAGCCCGTCGGTAAGAGCTCAGTATGACACCATTCTTGCTATTTATCAATTAAATTTGATTACTTTACAGTCTGAGGGTCATGAATAGCAAAAAGTAAACGTTGTCTAAAAGGTTTCTCAGTGTCTATAGACGCCAGAAGATGGCAAACAAAAGCACGAGCTTTGTCATCTTAGATGTAGAAACTTGAAATGGAGAAACAAAATGAAGTCACTATTACTGCCTAGAAATGTAAACATAGTTATTAAAAAGCTGACGGTTCTTTTGTTTGCTCCCACCTCAGGTGTGAAGATTTGGTCTGACCCATTCAAGAAGTGATTCCCAATGGACGTATGTGGAGAGTGCTCTGGGAATGAGTGAGCCAAGGATTTGATTCTGTCTTAGTTTTGCCCATTCAAAGGGACATACGATGGAAAATAGACTTTTTAATGGGGACAGCACGGTGAAAGAGTAGTTCGCACGTCTGCCTAGCTATTATATTATTGTAGACTCTGAATTGTCCATTGGTGCGAATGTGAATGGTTGCCTATATGTCCTTGGCGAAATTGACATCATCACCGCCCCGATGCCAAGTTTCTCAGCCGTGACATGGCAGCTTTACCGGGCGAAGATCCAGAGCCACTTTAAAGCCATTATGCTGTCTGAAACACAATTGACTATTTATTGTTTGTATACAATCTGTCCACCCTTCAAGTGTAAAATTAAACAACTTTTAATTGCACCGAGATATATCATTTGTATCCACACATTACATTTTAAATCTCTTTTAAGATTAAAATGCAGGGAAAGAGCCTCACTTTTTGAATGCTACGTAAAGAAAACATTTAACTTTAAATTGTTTGAATTAGATTACAATGCGTTCATTAAAATACTTTCAAGTAACCAAATAGATTATTGTCTTGACTGTAGTGCAATGGTTCTCAAACTTTTTACGCCAACACTTTAAAAAAGTTAATTTTGTTTTAAGACACTGCAAAATTATGCAGTTTGAACATTAACAATGCACTTAAAGCACTTTGAAACGGTCATTCATGCCTTTGTCATATCCCGGCTCGATGACTCAAATGCACTTTACTTTAGAGTCAGCCAATCCTCCATTAAGCATCTCCAGTTGATCCAGAATGCTGCTGCTCGCCTCTTGACGGGTACTCGTTAGGAGGGAGGACATAACTCTTACTCTGGCATCCCTTCACTGGCTCCTTCTACATTTTAGAGTTTTTTTTAATATCCTATTATTTGTTTTCAAATCTTGAAGTGTCCTGGCCCACCTTACCTGTCTGCTCTAGAAATACAGTTGAGTTGAGTTATATCGGAAAATAAAATGACAACTGACATAAACATTTATTTTAAAAATATTGCATATAAAGTTAAATAAAACTTTATCTGAAAAAAAGGTTAAAACAAACGGCCAAATGTCTTGTACGAACAATTTAAATGCGACTGAACTGTCCCTAGGGAGTCATTCTTTTTTCTACCACAAGAGGGAGCCCGCGCTCCACTCATGCTGAGGAAGGCTTGTCCTCTTTTCTCCACTTGGGAGAACCCTGATCATTAAAAAATAAGAGCTGCTGCTTGGCAGTTTTTTTTTTATTCAGCGCAGGCCCCCCTCTGGTGATCAGTTGTTAGGAATAATGAAGTCATTTGTTGAAGTAATTATTGTTGAGATAAATGAGCAGTAGGCTTCCGTCAGATGTCAAAAGAGAGCACAAGTCTTCATGTAGGCTCAACTCAAAAGAGAGTTTCTGAGTGTGACTAAAAGCAGAGAAATTCCAACATTGCCCCCCCCCCACCTCCCCCGTTTCTGCTTTTGTGGTTTCCTGACATTGAGCAGCATCCCTCGGAGGAAAGATGGATCGGAGAGAGATGAAGAAAGAGCTCAAGCATGTGTTTATGTTCCTTCGTGCACTTCCATCTTTCCGTGTAGCCTGTACTTTGGGACTCTCGGGCCCGCCGCCAGCCCAAGGCGAAGGGCCGCTCTCCTCCTCCATCGACAAACAGCCCCATTGTTTATGCGAGCGTGTTATTGTTGGGCCGCGCTCCGAAACGAGAGAAAACTCCAGAGCCCGGCCTGAAAATTCCTCTCATTCCCCCGCTGGTGTTTTCCAGATTCCTCAAGCGACGGCTCCCGCGAGCCGAGGGGGAAATTGAAGCGAGCGGCGAGAGGAAGGGAAGCGCATTCTTGAGGCGACGCGTCACCTACGCGCAGCGCAGCGCGCGCGCACACACACACACACCCACACACACACACACACACACACACACACACACGGGCGCTCTGACACTCGGTGTTGCCTTCTTGGCCTCGCCGGCCTGTGCGTCGCTTCGTGTTTGATGACGTCTCGCACGCAGCACTTTGGTACCTACAACTGAGCGATACTGTACATGAGTACAAGTATCTCTGCAGAAAGTTGATAGGTTAAATGGTTAGAATCTAGTTTTAGTGTAGTTGTTGTTTGACCCCCCCTCTTCTGTATTCTAATAAACGATATCCGACTTGTTCTACATAAATAGTTTGGTCTTATAGGCCAGATGTAGGCGAATATAAAGGCAAATGAACCATGGATAAATATGAAATACAAGTTATTAATCTACTTCAATTAGTTTCTTAATGTACTCAACACGTTGCGGTCTTTTCAACGTCCAATGTGAGAACTTAACAAGATTCTACCAAACAATGCGGTGTCAACAAGTCAGCGAGTCATAAATCAGATCACCACAGTCATGCAAACAAAGCTGGGGCTTTATCACTTCAGCTTGTCATGAAACAATGACATGCAAACTCGTGGACTTCAATTCTTTTGCACTGAATATATTTAAACACGCTAAAAATAAACAAACAAATAAATTATGTGTTTTGCATGAAAGACAAAGTCTGCCAGCCAACCTTCTGGTTTGTGCGTCCTAGCTAGCTAGGGGCTGTACAATACATGAATACATATGTACACAAAGTCACATCTGCTCAGGAAGCTGTAGTACTATTTGTTGCTTTTCGCAGAGGATAAAGAAAATACGCTTGTGGGTAGTGTTCGTCTTCACAGTTGTTGAAGTTTCTGCTATGTAAAGGTTTATACAGTGCACCGTAACATCAATGCTAGTTTTGTGAGCTCGTCTGTGGTGTCTGCTAGCGTTAGGCTAGCAGACCTTTGTCAGACAGCTATGTTGTGTAACGTGTAATTTGTTTTATTTTATGATTAGTTTGACAGTACATTTAGGTTGGCATAAAAGCCGTTGTTGGAAGAGTCTTTTCACTCGAATGTATCAAAACAATTCCTGTCAACGCCACCGGCTGCGTCACGTAATCCTTGTTATCGCCGCCACTGTTCATCCCTGCAGTGGTGAGCTGCAGCAGGCGCTTCCATTTTATATTCCATCCATATGATTGCGTCCTTGCATGACGTTAATGTATAATTTCTTTGGATTTTATTTTGTAATAACAAAGATGGTCAGGGCAAATGTATTTTCAGTAAAAGTGTGCATTTCATTTATGAAATGTCGAGTAAAAGTGTAAGTTGAAGGAAATATAAATAATGTAAAGGACAGATATGTGAAAATGCGAAAATAAGTGGAAGAGCGTAGCAGTTAGCGTCATTAGCTTTGGGGTATTTCGATGACCGCGAGTCTTGCAACTACATCGCCACCCTTACGTAGCTTTGGGACACCAAAAGCGAAACTTTCCGTCAGTCGAATGGTCACTTCCAAAATATGCAAGGGAATCACGTGAAATTACCCCTCCCGTCCCCACACACACACACAAAAAGCTGACTTTTTTTTTTTAGCCTGGCTACGATGTTTTGTTTTACAACACGCGATGCTATAGCATAGGCAAGACGAGACTTAGCGTTAGCGTAACACTGATTTGTTTTTGTCATCATGTGTTTTGAATTGTTTTAGCGCTAGTCCATTGGAAAAAAATCGTTGGGAGGGCCGTGTTGTGCTAGAAATATATCAATAAAGATGAATCCAACACAATAGTATTTACACAATCGTATCCAAGATGGCGGCGTAGTTGGCAGCTGTCGGCAAGTGCTCTTCGAGAGCTTTGCTTTTTCTTCTTTTTGTCTTTTGTTTTGTCACATGGTGTTTGTTGTTATTTTGTGTGGACCCGATGGGGACTGTTTTTGAGTTTTTGGCCATGACATTCATCATAGGAGAAGAATCTGTTCTTGGTGGCTACGCCTTCTCGGCAGCACGCGTGTCCTCGCACTGATTTTGAATGGCGGGGAATGCGGGCGCGATTTGACTGTCGCCACTCAACCGCCCCGAGGCGCTTGTGTTTTTTGCGCCTGTAATGGGTAATCTCTGAAAAGTTGCCAAACATAATGACCGCATGATGGCTAAGTTGCCAACACGCTTAGCTTTGGTGAACCAGCTCGTCCGTGGAAGCAGCGCACATCACAAAAGTCATCCCGACAAACCATTTCAAATGAATCGACAATGTCGGCAGCGTTTTCTTTTCTTTTTATGTTTGTCTGTTTTCAAGCTGAGTTTTTTTTCTCTCTCCTGATACCACCGACACACAGCCAGTCTTTTAATTGTCACATGAAGGTCACGTTTTTTACAAGAGTTCAGCTTGTAATTAAGCGTCGCTCTTTAAAGCCACGCGGCTCTTTGGGACGCCTGGAAGCGGCTCACTTGGACTGCCCGATGACCGTTCATCTCGCATGTTTGTCAGTGTTTTCATCTGGTTTAGGATGAAAAAAATAAAAAACATCTGTGGGGGGTGGACGGGGTGGGAGGGGTGGACAGGAGTGTGTGGCTTAAAAAGCTCGGCTGCGGTTGAGCAACCTCCAAATGAGGTGAGCAGGAAATTGCCGAACGCGGCGTCGAGGTTGCCAGGATCCTGTCGCACGCGGGCCTGCGGACGCATTTGGAGCTGTGCAGGAAATGTTTAAGCAATTAGCCCCGAGTTTAAAATGTTGGAAAGACTTTTTTTTTTTTTTTTTTTTTTTTGCTGCAGAGGAAAATCTTTGTTATGCACGGACCTCATCTTTCCAGTCTTTTCAGGCTGTTCCACTGCAGGAGAAAAAGCATACTTGAATTGTTGCTTTTGTCTTGCTTGAGGTACACTCTCTCATGACGCCGACCGACATGCGGTCTGCTCGCACGATACGTTCCTACAATTGGAGTGTCGGGATGCGAGCTGCGGTTGACAGCGCAGTTCTATCTGACGCGTCTCCGGTTGGTTCAAAACGTCGCCGCCAGCGTCTGAACTGGAACACGCAAGAGGGAGCACAGCGTTTATACTGGCCCATCTCCACTCTAAAGAGTCCGTTTTAAAAAATGTTGTCATTTGTTTTAAAACCTCTAAATGGTCGCGCCTCACTGAGCAGATCTTTCTTGCAGTCCTTCCGAAGTTCCTCAGGTCAGCTAGACATTTTCTCTCGGAGGTTCCGAAGTCTAAGTCTAGAGCTTTTTTCTGATGTCGTGCCCAAACTTTGGGATGAATTGCTGGTACACATTAGCCAAGCCCCTTAGCTGTCCCTTTTGAAAACCGCGTTTATCTCTTGCCATTCGACACCGTGTGAGCCCTTCCGTTCATTCGTCAGGCATTCAGTCAGGACACTCCGGGGTAGAGCATCCCGACACCGTCACTGGCCCAGTAGAAGACTGAGCAAAGACCTCGGCTGCCAAAGAGTCCCGACACGGACAATTTCTGCCGCACTATTGGATAAATTTCACGGCGGAACTTTCCGACGCCGATTGGGAACTGAGTGTGGCTCGTCGTTTCCGTTCATAGGACAAAACCGCGTGGGTGACAGCGGCCCAGAACGAGCGTCTGCCATTTGATGTCGGAATCATCGGGACGGAGGCCGAGCGATCGCAAAGACGGTGGTTTCGGCTCGTCGGGGTTTAGAAGGAAAACCAAATGTGTACTTGT